CTCGTGAGATATTTCCTTCTACCAACCAGATAATTATAAACATAATTTCTAAATTCCTAGAAAAACTACGAAAAAGGATCTTTATTCGCTTCAACGTTGTCGCAGCATTTTATTGCTTTATTGCTTTACTTTCTGCCTTGAATCTTTTTCATGCCAACGCAGCTGGCATTCCGAGTCGCCGGAATAAATGTTCATGCCAGCTGTGCTGGCATTCCGAGTGCAAGGGGTTAGGCAAGAAGACGTTGGCGGCCTTCGGTCAAGTGCCTGTAGCAAATCTTGGCAAAAACGCTACTTCGACCCCTCCGCAATCGCTGTTAGTGCAAAGCCGAGGATACCCAAAGAAGCCGCGGGACGAAACTACCCGACGTGTTCCTGGATCTCTCCATACACTGCTGATCGAAGCGTCGCCTCATAGGACACTTCCGATCTACACCGATGATCGCCGCTCTCATCGCGACAACCGAGAGCGGTCGCGCGTTGCGGAAATGCACAGGTCGACGGATTGTTACGTACGTACGTATCCCACGACTGGGATAAAAAAGCAGACGCACGCGAACGGCTGGAAAATGATGACGCTGATACCGCGCGAGGAAGGTACTCCTCGCTAGGCGAGGAGTGGCAAAACGGCGACCTGCGAGATCCCGTTCCCGTATCATTATTCCGCCGTAATGCTAGGTGCCCGGCGAAACAATTCGCCGATTCCAGCCCCGATCCTCCCGATCCACTCACCGGACTGCCTCGGTGCGCCAAGTGTCGAGTTACTTTTTCCGCGTTTCAATCGCGCATGCGGAAAAGCCCCGCCCGCAATAACATCGTATTCCGCCTCTTCCTGCCGCCGCTGTCATCGTCGTCGTCGTCGTCGTCGGCCGCGGCCGATTCGTGTTCGGTCGGCTCGCTCCTCCGGCGCTTCCGCGTCTGCCCGCGTGTGATTTCCATGCGTGCGCTCCACGTCCATACCCGCACCCGGGATCCCACGCGCGTGTGTGTCCGTGTGGCCACGAGGAGAGCGTGTACCGGGTGAACCTAACGAGATCTCAATAGCCCGATCCCCGGCAGTCGGTTGCCGCGCTCGCAAATGGCCACGATCCCGCGGCGCAGCGTCCGCGCGAGAGCGATGAATGCTGAACGCAGAATGCGGAACCATCGCGAGAAAGAGAGAGAGAGAGAGAGAGAGAGAGAGAGAGAGAGAGAGAGAGAGAGAGAGAGGGGATAATACGCGCACGGTAAATGGAAGAATGTTATGAGCTCTCGTGAGCGGGATAGCGTTCTCGCTGTAGCAGTCGGTGGGTCGGTCGGTCGACTGGCCGGTCGGCCCGGCGACCGCGCGATAATATCCCTCAGGGGGGCACGAAAGCAGAACGTACCGTTTTAACAGGCCGGTAAAAATAAGTTCGACGCGGCCTGGCCGCGGGGGTAATTTATTCTCGACCTTAATAGAAAACAGACGTCATTTAATTATTATCCGCGAGCGAGCAAGCGCGACGGAGCATGCCTGATAGAAAATTCATTTGCGCCGCGACGATTAACCTGAAACGTTTCGACTTCGCCAGGGAGACCACGTGCCTAAGTCCCGGATTGGATTCCCCGCGTGAAAACGACGGGGAAACGAGCGCGCCTGTCCGAGCGGATCGAGCTGGAGGGTCTCGCCGCGCGCCGCCACCGAGGAGAAATCCGCGACGCTTTTCACGGAGATCGTGAACGCGCGAGAAACGACGACGACGACGACGACGACGACGACGACGACGTGCCGTCGGTTAATCCCGCCGGGTAAAACGGCACGATTTTCAAATCGTTACCATCGATCACACGCGTCGCGCGCTCCGTCCGCGTCGTCGATAAAACGTACTCGTGCAACATTAATATCTCGCGTTTACGCAACTCATCTTCGCCGCGACACGCGCGCGCGATTCCTCTCTCGTTAAAGCGTTGCGCTGGAATTGCGTCTCCGAGACGTTGGGCTCATGCGAGGCAAGAAAATGTGTGTGTGATGTTACATAAGAAATCTGATTTAATCATATCACATTTCGTAACGATGAGACCTCCTCTGACAAAATTTTGCGGGATTGCGCGAAGCTGACGTAAATCCAGTCGCGACGCAGACTTTTGTTTTTTTTTTCCCCCCCGAATATGGACTTCGCTACCCAAAGCCGATTCAACCTCGTTGTTGTCGTGACAACGACGGTGGCCCTCGAGGAAATTCGAAGATTCGAGATTGCGGGGATTGCTTTTGTTCCTTTCCGACGCGGAGAGTTAAGCAGATGCGTGCGTTCCCCGGCTACGCCAGACAAATGGCAACTCGAGGGGTTAAACTTTTTCTCGGTGCAACCGGACGCTGCATCGTTTTCCGCGTGAGGGAGGGAGAGGGAGAGAGAGAGAGAGAGAGAGAGAGAGAGAGAGAGAGAGAGAGAGAGAGAGAGAGACAGAGAGAGAGAGACAGAGAGAGAGACAGAGAGGGAGAGAAAGGGAGCGCGCGCGGGCGAGAAGGGCTCGAAAAGAAGGAGGAATCAAGCGGATAGCCCGGTATCATTAATCAAGGCCCTCGAAGCGCGCTAAATCACCCGCGAGATATAAATTACCGCGGGCAATCTGGTATCAATAAGGCGTAATTCGGGATAATAGGGCGTGCGAGGGAGGGCTTGACGGCGGCGGGGCGAGAAGGTGATCGGGAGAGGGGGGGGAGGGGGGGTAAGGGGTAGAGGGCGGACGCGCGGGAGAGGATATATAACTCCTGATTTCCGAGGGTGCTGTAGATTTCGATTAACCCGAGTCCGTCCGGCTGTCCGAGCCGAGCCGCGACATTTCTCTTCGTTACCCTCTTCTCGATATCCTTCGCCTTTCGTATAAATGATTTAACGGCGACGGAGACGCGCGCCGTGCCGCGCTGCCCGGCTGGTTCCCCGTCGCGAATACGAAAGTGCCTTACTCTTTACCGAAAACGCCGGTATCACACACGAAAGCTCGGAATCACACGCGAGAGACCGCTCTCGACTATCGACGCGCGACGCGAAACGAAATACACTCCCGCGCGAACGCTATTCCGTTGGCGACGCGTCAAACGAAATCCGGATTAATTTAATACTTAATATCTGGTTTAGATCGCTTTTTCGCAGATTAGCTATCGCACGTTGTAACAGTTATCGCATGGATTGGATGTTTCTATGCAATTTGGCGATCGCGCAGCAACGAATTAACAGTTGCAGATATCCCGGGATGAGATCTCTCACTGTGATCTTCCTTTCTCTCTCTCTCTCTCTCTATCTCTATCTCTCTCTGAAAGTTTTAATATTTTACCTATTTCTGTTGGAGCGAAACGATAGCTACCGCACGTTGAACAATGTATCTGTCATGTCTTGAAAATTTTATTCCCGTTTCGTTATTTTTACCTCATTTCTTTTCTCTGTGTATCCTTCTTTTTCGAGCTCGACGGTACTTAGTGTCAAAGTGTTAATAAATATTATAGCCTCTCTCTCTCTCTCTCTCTCTCTCTATCTCTTCTCTCCACGAAAAAGAGACGCATAACATCCGCGAAATTCAACGTCCGTATCGTCGAAATCGCTTCGCCGGCGGCGGATCGACAGGTCGCGAGATTCGTCGGCGCGATACGACAGCGGCGCGCCCGGCTAATTAGTTATCCTCGATACATCTGGCCGATGGATAATTAGCCGCTACGGTCTGTACGCGCGATAACTCGTTGCTCGCTCACTCGCACTCGCACTCGCGCGCGCGCGCGCGCGCTCGCGCTCGCGTTCCCGTTGGACGACCCGCTGGGATTTGTTTCCGCCCGTGAAAACAATTTGTTTCTCATTCCATCGGAACCGAACCCCGTCATCATCGGCGCCAGAATGGGATAAACCCTTCCCTCTCGCACCCGTCTCTCTTTCGGCGTCCATCCTCGTTCCTCCCGCTTCATTTCCTCAGCCCTATTACATCGTTATTAGGCTCGTAACAGACGTGTAAGCGTTCCGGGGAACACCCCACTGGGTTATTAATGGTGACTCTTTGTTTTTTCGTACTCTCCACGCCCGATGGCCACAGTATATTCTCTCTCTTTCTCCTTCTTCTCCTTTCATTTCTCTTCTATCTGCCTCGCTTCTCTCTCTCTCTCTCTCTCTCTCTCTCTCTCTCTCTACTTCCGTTCTTCCCTCCGCCTTCTTCTATCACCGTGCCGCCGCTTCTTCCTTTCTTTCCTTCCTTCTCTCTCGCTAACCCGGGCTTTCGCCATTTCTTTCCTCGTCTCGCTCTTCATCTTTCTCTTTTCATCTCCCCATTTGCGTTCCTGCCTCCCTCCCTCGCGCGCCTTGAATAAATTAATGTAAGCGCGAGCATTAAGGTAGGTGTCGGGCATTCTGATGCGAATGAGCTCTGCCTCCGCGCGGTGACAAATTGGTGGCGCAGGTAAAGGGATACCCTTTACGCGCGCGCGCCCCATACCCACGAGTACGGCACAGTCGTCGAAAGGGCGTGCACGCGCGCGCACCGGCCTTCCTCCACGTGGAGGAAAAAAAGGCGTCGCGAGAAGCCCGGCGGTAGAGATTTCGACGGTCGCCTTGTCGCCGCCGCGCGCGCGGCTGTTTCGGCGGTTACAGCGCGCGTGCTACCGTTCGTGTCGCCTGTTCTCGCACCTCTCTCTCCCCCCTGCCCCTTTCTCGCGCCCTTCTCGAGAGAATTCCAACGATCGGATCTCGGGTCTTTGTCTTGATAATGAAGTCGGCTGCGAAGTAAACGAGAAGGAGGCACATTCGAGAGACGCGCAAGCGGCCGCATGTTAGGCGGCGCAAACGATCGTGCTAAGAACTCGTCCTCCAACACAACTTGTAATAATTAGCCATAATCAGCGGCATCGCGTCACTCCAGTTACGTTCTCATGAAGTTATCTCTCGAGCGTGACGCGTGGTCTCACGATCAAGAGCGACGCTCTCGTGCGCCTTCTCGCGGATCGAACGTCGCCGCGGCGAGGCGACGCCTCCTCGCGCGCGCGCGCGCGCGCGAACGCGACTCACCTTCGCAGGTAAACTGTCCGTAATGCTTGCCGCTGCTCTTGTCCCCGCAGACGACGCACTCGATATTCGGCGATTTGTCGGTCTGCGAGCTGCCGGATTGCGAGCTGTTGGCCTGGCTGCCGGGGGTGGTGCTGGGCGGCAGAGGGTCCCTCGACGTCAGCACCGAGCCGGCTGGCACCAGGCAGGTGATGTCTTCCGGCGTAGCCGAGGGTGTGAGATGCGCGGGTGGCATCGGTGGCGGCGGGCCGACCTGTATGGGCCCGCCGCCGCCCCCGCCGGCTGCGCCCAAGGCGGCCGCGGGGTCCCGCGAGGCCCATGAGGGCGGCGGCGGCGCGACCAACGCCATCGAGGCGGTGGTGCCGCGCGCCGGGAACCCCAGCTCCAACGTGGTGGTGAACTCGGGGTGGTGGTGTCCGGCTGGCACCCGGCCAGGGAACAACGTCGCCGTCGCGGCCGGGTAAACCACCCCGGCAGTCGCCAGGGCGTCCGCGCCTCCCGTCCCACCTCGAACCACCCTGCCGGTTTTCTATCCGCGAGACGCGACCGACGAAGACGGGGGACCGACTGTAGTCTACGGGTTGGCACGCTCGAGACAACCGTGCGCGGGTTGGGGGTGTCTCTAATTGATGTCTCGAATTGATGGCAACCGAAGACCTCTTGGTCCGGAAGATTAGGTGGGTTTAGATCGGGTGGGACCCTAATATATAAGGGTTTGTGGGATGTCACCCTCTCTGTCGGCGATTTTGCGCGCTGATTTCACACTCACACTCCCTTCACTTTCGTTCTGGCAGCGAGACACGTCGAGTCACGCGCGCCTCGGCACTCACTTCTTCACTGTCCTGAAGTTTTCGCTCGACGGAAACGCACGCCCGCGAGATAGATCGCGCGACGGCCAGGCAATACGTATCATACTTGCGGGGAATCCGCGAGAGAGTGGACCGACCACACGCCAGGTTTCCCAGTCACTGCTCGAAGCGGTACACGTGCACACTCGCGGAAGCTGTCAAGAGTGTCGCGATTTCACTGCTCAACACGCACTGTGTGACTTCCCCAAGGTCCTACTCTCGATCATCCTCCCGATTTGGGTTCTCCCAATCTCGATACGTGGGATGGGTTCTTCGATCGATACTCGAATTAGGATCAACTGTCGACGGCAAGCTAACGGTCGTCGAGATCCTTTGGGAAGAGAATCACAGTCATTAATCCCGATGGTCCTTCAGTCCCTACTGAGGTAGCCCGCCCATATGAAAGATCCCACAGCTCCGATCGACTTCGTTATCGCTTGCGAATTGCTCGCGCGACCACAAGCACGTCATTTCGCTGCGCAATTGCCGATAAATCCGCGTGAACCGCGGCACCGCGAACGATACGACGATGTGAAAACTGTGACAGCCGTCACACCCCGGTCACGCACTTTGGGCCACTTTTCACTTTTCCACGTGCACCTCGCGATCTCCCGGAGGAGAAAGGTCTCGCGCGCTAAGACACCGACACCCACACCGACACCGATCTATCTCCCGGCAACGGTCGTCAACCCTTCGAACGTCAGGGCGGTGACACACGACTCAGCGGGCGCAGAGGGAGGAAGGCGGTACAGGTCCCGACGATGAACCCGTAATAGTTGGGAACAGTCGCGTGTTCCTCGGTACCGCGTGTCGTCTCGGGCTTTGGCGCGTATCAGAGCGTGTCTCGCGAAAGCAGGACCACTCGTGCTCGTGTGGCCTGCGTTCGTATGTGAGTAACGTGCTCGAGAGTTCACGCGTACGTAGTCGATATATCGTGGACCGTGGACCGATGCGAGACCGACCGCGACACTCGCGTTTGCGCGAGCCTGTGTGTACTCGTGCGCTCGTGAGTGCGCTCGCGCGCGTATACTCCTCCGGATGCGTTTTGCGCGCGGTGGTGTATGCGTAGAGGTGGAGGTTGCCGTGGAGGTGGAGGAGGTGGTAGTGGTGGTGGTAGTGGTAGTGATGGTAGTGGTGGTGATAATGTCGTCCCTCCGTCGCGCGCTCGCAGCGCCGAGCAGCAGCAACAGCGACGGCGACGGCAGCGGCGGCGGCGACGGTGACGGTGGTGGTGTTGATTCTGGTGGTGGTGGTGATGCTGGTGGTGGTGGTGGTGGTGGTGGTGGTGGTGGTGGTGGTGGTGGTGGTGGTGGGTGGGGGGTGGTGGTGGTGGTGGTGGTGGTGGTGGTGGTGGTGATGTTGGTAATGGTAGTAGTAGTGGTAGTGGTGGCGACAGCAGCAGCAGCAGCAACAGCAGCAACGGCGGTGGCAGGAGCAGCAGAGCAGCGGCCCGTGGTAGTAGTAGTAATAGTAGTAGTAGTAATAATAGTAGTAGTAGGAGGAGGAGGAGAAGAAGAGAGGTGATACTCGACTACCGCCTCGATACGACTATTCTTGGGGCCGACCAGAGACCGACTGCCGACTAAGGCGACCCCTGACACCGACCTAGGGCCCCCACCATCGCGAACCCGCGAGGGTTTCTCGCGGGTTCCACCGGTTACCATGGCTACCGAAGGTGGGGTCGAGTCCCGGGCTCGCCCCGGTCGGCCTCTCATTGGCTACGGGCTTGCCCTACTCTGGCAACCAACACGCGTTGTCCCGACCAAGTAGTTTCGTACCCACTTTGACTACTCGATCTAGTCGTCTTCCTCTTTCTCTCTCCCGCACGTGTACGATAGCACTCCTTTCTCTCTCTCTCTCTCTCTCTCTCTCTCTCTCTCTCTCTCTCTCTCTCTCTCTCTCTCTCTCTCTCTCTCTCCCTCTCCCTCTCCCTCTCCCTCTCTCTCTCTCTTTTTCTTTAACATTGTGGTCGTCTCGCTCGCTCCCTCTTGTTCTCCATCTATCTATCCGTCTACCGTCAGTCTATTCGTCCTGCTTTCCCTCTCACCCTCTTTCCTTTTTGGTACCCTTTATCACTCTCTATCTCTCTCCCTCTCTCTCTCTTCCCCCTTCTGCTCCCCCCCCTCTCTCTATCTCTCTCTCTCTCTCTCTCTCTCTCTCTCTCTCTCTCTCTCTCTCTCTCTGCCTCTCAGTACGCGAACTCTGCGGACGAACGCTCCTCCGTTTCTCTTATCACTCTCATCCTCTCCTTCTCTCTTGCTTCGGCCGCGTCCCACCGCTCCTCATGATCTCTTCTCTCGTGGAGCGAGCTCTCCGGCTTCTTCAACCTGCTGATCATATTACTACGCTTTTTATCAAACCGACCGCGACCGCTAGGACGAATCGCGTCATAGCCGCTTCCAAGCTTCTGACGGGCAACTTTGTCTTCTCTTGCGGGCGGGAGTCGTTCATTCGATCCGCCGAACTCTACCTCGAGCCCGTTTTAATCCAGCAATTCTGTCGCCCCCATCCCTTCCCCGCTGCCACCTAATCCAGCTACGATTACTTGCGCTGATCGTTTGCTCCGATTATGCTTCCTGAAAATCATCTGACAAAATAGCGATCTCGACGTAATCTTCCAACCATCTTTTCACTTCCGATATCCCGCGTTGTTCCATTCTAGAGTATTCCCGACGCCTTGCAGAAAATGGACACTCCATATCGATTGAAAGTATCCCCCCAAACATCCATCCCATCGTATGGAAAGATATTAACCGACCAAAGAATGACGCGACGATCTATAGACGCGCGATTAACATTTCGTCCGGATCTCTTTGGCCGTTTCTTCCTCTTCTTCCCGTACGATGAAGGACCCAGGTGGAAGGAACGCGGCTGTCCACCCCAACGGTGTCAGGGGCGGTCGAGGGAAGAGAGGTCAGAGCGAGAGGGCGGCAGCCAATGAGGACGAGGAGTCAAGTGGGGCGCGAAAAATGGGCCGTCCCGCCTTCCATCCACCCCCGAGGCTAAGGGTGAGGGTAAGGGTGCGCGGAGTAGGGCTAGAGAGGGCTCCGAAGGCGGCCGGGGCATCGAGGTAGGGTCAGTCGGGTCGCAGCCCTGCGCCCCTACAGCCTCGCTTGTCATGCTCTTTGCTCTCTCGCTCTCGCTCTCGCTCTCTCTCTCTCTCTCTCTCTCTCTCTCTCTCTCTCTCTCTCTCCCTTCTCTTTCCTTCGCTCTTCCTTCGTCTCTTTCCCCTCCGCTCCTTTCTCCTTCGTACGGTTCCGTGTTCCTTCTACGATATGTCGCACGTTACGTTTTTCCGTGCCGCCAGAGTCCGTTATTTTTCACCTTCAGGCACCTTCAGTCTCACTTGGTTAGATTTTATTCTTCGCCGGCTGTATCGATTCGACGCTGCGAATACTTGAGCGATTGCAAGATCTCGACGTTGCTGCCGCCGCTGATTTTCGTCATAATGTTCACGTTTGGGAATATATCTACATATTCATGTTCCCTCCTCGCTCTTTGCCACGTCCTGCCGTCACGATCGACGTCGAGCCAAAGCGGGCGCGTAAGACGATCTTCCTCGGCGAGAAGATCCGCATGGTGAGACGAGAGCGAGTCGTTTCTACGAGGTGTGACTCGAGCACGAGGAATTCGGTCTCCCGATCCATCGGCGGAAAGCGCAATTGTTTTTCTCGACGGCTTGCGTGCCTGCTTGCGTGCACGCGTACGCAAATAGCGAACGGCGAATAGCCGAGCAGCCGGGCGAGCGAGCGAAAAACGAGAAACGGGGCTACGGGACGAGAGACTTTAAGACGATCGAAACGACCGTTGGCATTCGCGCTCTTGAACCGAACTCAATAAACGTGATCTCCGACCGACGCTCCAAGTCGGCCGTTAAGAGCGCCGTCGTGGACGTCGTCGAGGGTCGAATTTAGGCTGCACCCGACGCGACCGCATCGGATTTCGCGCGACGTTCCACCTGACGACGTCACCGTCTCTCATTTCTATCGACGTCTCAGAGTGCCGTTTTGTGTTTTCGTGTATGCACGTTCTCTCCTTCGCACAACAAAGTCGGAAAATCGGAAATTATGCAGGAAAAAGATGTGTGTAAATTTAACAGCTAATTTTACCAGTCGATTTGTAAAAGTTGCACTTCTTACGGCCAGTCCATATGGTTATCCGCATTTACCACATGAAAGTGGCGAAATGGAAAATAGTAGGACAAGAAATCTGGTCAAAATCCGCTCGAGGCAATATGTATCGCGTGAAAACGTAACAGTGAAAATCTCAGTGTAACTTTTCATGAATTTGTCGCTACGCGTAATGTATAACAAGGAGTTTACATTCAACAACCTATTTAACGAATTTAACGATTCATTCTAAGCAGCGCATTTGCCTCATAAATGAAATTCAAAAACGATTGTCGCTGGGCGACAATTCAAAAAAATTCAAGGATCCTCCTCATCGACCCAGTTTCTTTGTGTTATAATTAGGCAGCCCAATTAAACCGAGCTTCCCAATCCGCTGTGTGCCTTGAAGACTCCGCTGTATCTCTCCCGTATTATGCGCACATTCGTCTTTAGGGAGCGCCGGATCCGGTAACGAGGCGGGGCGCATCCGAAAAATCTCAGATCGCCCGAGGCACTAACTGCCGTCGGGGCCGGAGGCGTCCCGTGGCGAACCCAAGTACGACCCGGTGTAACCGCAGCCCCCGCAGCCGGGGGTGAACGAGCGTGCGTAATAGTTATAGGGGGTACGTGCGGTGGTCGTCGCGAGCACGCCGGTAGGGTGCAAGTCCTAGTGGTAGGTATAGCGCGCGCGCTTCGGGAGAGGGTGAGGAGAAGACAGGGGTGGGCGCGCCGCGTACAAGTGCATATCGGTGAAGGGGTGGCCGAACAATGCGTTCATTCAATGCGCTCTAGATATGATTACCGGAAACCATCCCGTAATTACTTTTTGTACATCGAAAACGCACGAGGCTCCCACCTCCCCCTTCGCTCTACCCCTTCACCTCCGCCGCCACCCCCGTCGTCGTCGTCGTCGTCGTCATCGCCGTCGACGTCGTCTCTCCACCACCACCACCATCACCACCACCACCACCACCGCCACCGCCATCACCACCACCATCAGCACCATGCTACTACCGCCGCCGCCACCGTCGCCGTGTGGTGCTTCTTGGATCACGCGACGACCTTTTTCCACCCCCTCGGTGATGCTTTTAACGTGCCCGGCCTCGCCCGTTGACTCGCCGCTCTAGAGACGATTTATCGAAACTGTCACGCTCCGCGGTGCACTTCGCACCGGTGCTCTTACGGACCACTCGTAGTACTCGTCCACGGTTGAGCGGTCCGAAGAAAGATCGACTCTGCTGATCATACGCGTTCTCTCCCTCCCCGTCTCCCTCCCTCTCTCTCTCTCTCTCTCTCTCTCTCTCTCTCTCTCTCTCTTCTTGCAACTCGAATTTACTCTTTGAAGGATTAAACGTGATCTTACGAGCAAGCGTAAAGCCCTTTTTAACTTACTCTAAGGTAACATTTAGTTTTATACACTTTACCCCGAGTATTTTCAATGATATTCCTTGGCAAATAGATATTCCAGTTGTTGTCGAAAAGTTTCAACCCATGCGTATAAACCACGTGCATATAAATTTATCAAAAATATGAATGTCTCTTTCATGATACAAAAATATGAATTTTTCTGTTGCTCCACAGCGTACGCAAAAGCCATAAAATTCAGGAAGCGGTTTTCGCCCAAGATCTGCCTTCATCATGGTTGCAAAATCGAAGCTCTCGATACGCGCTCGCGATACGTCACGATTACGATTAAACATCGCCGTGCCGGGAGTCTCGTCGCGTTTCGGATCGATCGCGAAGGAAATGCGGCGTGTCCCGACGAGCAAATATTTATCCCGCGTTATTAATTAAGTACCAAGGGAGTTGGTCGCCCGACTGTGTCGCGAGCATGCGGGTTCGCGAAATGCAAACGGCGATCCGGATATTTTCCCAATTTCTCAACCACCCCCACGAAAAACGCGCGCGCGCGCGCGAACGAAAGAAGGAGAGAGAGAGAGAGAGAGAGAGAGAGAGAGAGAGAGAGAGAGAGAGAGAGAGAGAGAGAAAACACGTATCTAGATATTGCGCAGCCCTGCTACCACGTTGGCCGCGTGTAATCTTGCCGTACGTCTTTGATAGG